GAGGAGGAGGGGTATTCTGTTTTCGTTGTTATTGCAGGGAGGGGGTGCGAGGGATGAGTTGCGGGAAATGTGGGAGACACGGTCGAGGGCGTTCTCGACCACTGAGGGGGGGAAGTTGCGGTCCTTGAAAAACGAGGACATCTGAGATGTATGGGAGTGGAATGCCTCATCCTAGGAGCAGACGCGGCAGAGGCGAAGGAATTGGGAATAGGGGATGGCATTTTTGCAGGAAGGTGCGTGGGAGGAAGTGTATTCCAAGTAGCTGTGGGCTTGAAACGGATATCGGTTTCTAGGTGGTTGCCAGAGATTGGTTTCTAGGTGGTTGCCAAGACATAACTACATCACTTAAAATTATTTAAGGAGGAGGTAGGTGGATTTTTGAAATGTCAGGGACTTGAGGACTATAATGAGCTGGCACAACAGTTAAGCTCTGGGGCAGATCAGCCATATCCTTGTTAATGATGAGGCAGGGGTCAGAGGGTGAATGGCCTGCTCCTTGTGCTCTTACAATGAGGCTGCAAAAGGATATAGATAGGCAACGTGAATGGGCAAAGATCTGGCAAACGGTGCATGATATGGGAAAATGTGAATCTGTCCATTTTGATAGGAAGAATGAAAAAAAAAGAAGCAAATGATCGAAAACATGAGAGATTGCAGAGCTCGGGATGCAGAGGGATCATGATGTCCAAGGCATGAGTCACAAAAGGTTAATCTGCAGGTTCAGTAAGTAGTGAGAAAACCTATTGTTATTATTTATTGCAAGGGGAATTGTATTGGTTACACAGGGCAACCGTAAGATCACATCTGAAATAATGCGTACAGTATTGTTCTCCTTATTTAAGGAAGGCTATAAAGGTGTTGGAAGCAGTTCAGAGATGGGCTTATTTGACTCATGCCTGGAATAGGTGGGTTGTTCTATGAGAAAAAGGTTGGATAAACTAGGCTTGTATCCGCTAGAGTTTTGAAGAATGAGCCGACTTGATTGACACATACAAGATCATGAGGGGTCTCGACTGGGTGGAAGTGGAGAGCATGTTTCCTTGGTAGGAGAATCTGGACCTAAGGGTCACTGTTTAAAACAAGGGGTCATCCATTTGGGACAGTGACAAGGAGAAATATTTTCTCATGGGAGGGTCATTGTCTTTGGAACTCTCTTCATCAAAAGGTGGTGGGAGCACAGTCGTTGCATATTTTTAAGGCAGAGGTAGAGAGATTCTTGAATAAGCAAGAGGGTAAAAAGTTATCAGGATAGGCAGGAATGTGGAGTAATCAGATCAGCCACAATCTTATTAAATAGTGGGGAAGGTTCAAGGGGGTCGAAAAAATTCACATTCGGATGTCTGAGCACAGATAAATAATGCATTCTCAATTCTCCAATTTTTACCCGTGACTATATACAGTCCTTTGTAGTTACATCAGCATCACTCCACATCTCCTTCAATGTGCTTTTCTGATAACAAAATACAGTGTTGCTTTAGAAAAAAATAGAAAATACAGTTACAGCAGTAAATCACCAGTTCATACCTTACTAGTAATAAAAAAACTTTTGCTTAAGGCTGTCAGATATAAAACTAAATACACAGGATACAAATAGCGTGCAGGGAGTTACAAAACTCTAAGTTAAGATATTTTGACAGATTTACGAACACAAGCAGAATCTAGAGACCCAACTATGGCAGTGATTCTCAGCATACCAATTAATATGTTCATATATACTGAATGTATCAACCACAGCTTGGAAGAAAGGTAACAGAACAAACATATTATGGTACTAATGTTACTCATTTAATAGTGAAATTGGTAAGAAATGGACAGCAAATATTCCAGATCCACTTTAAGTCACCGATGATATAAAGTAGGAAGGTGTCCAAGGCAAAATTGAAATAGTTGAATCCAATAGTAACAAAAGCTTGAACGAGTGTTTCAGCAGCAGACAGGGAAAGACAAAGGTTATGTTCCAGACTACTGAGAATTTCACAATCTCCATTAGTTAGATCAAATTTTCTACATGTTCTTCTCATTGTGAAATCCCAGTCTGCGTTATGTTGGTAGTCAGTTAATGTCAGTTTAGTTTAATATGCAGCTACATGTAATTTACTCCATCAGCTTAGATTTTACCTCTGAGCCCTGGTAACCACGACCTTGAACAGATGCTGTGGCAATTTTTTTTTCATTTCAGCATGGGATGTGGGCATGACTGGCTAAGCCAGTATTTACTGCCCATTCCTAATTACCCTAAGGGCTGCCTTTTTGAACTGCTGTGATCCAGTTGATGTAGGTACACCCACAATGCCATTAGGAAGGGAAGGCCAGGATACTGACGCAATGCAAGGCAATGTACCTCCAAGCAAGGATAATGAGTGGCTTGAAAAGCAACCTGCAGGGAGTGGTATTCTTATGTATCTGCTGTCCTTGTCCTTCTAGATGGTAGATGCCAGGGGTTTGGAATATGCTGTCGAAGGAGTCTTGGTGAATTGCTGCAGTGTGTCTTGTAGATGGTGCACACTGTTGCCACCATGCATCTGCCCTGATGAAGGGTTTCGCCCCGAAGCATTGACTTGCCTGCCCCTCCAAGGAGCCTCATACCTATAGCCTCTGGATTCCAGTATCTGCAGTCCTTGTGGTCTCCAAATGTTTAAGCTTAAGCTCTTGATCAAGTGGGCTGCTTTTTCTTGACTGGTGTTAAGTTTGCAGTCATCCAGGCAAGCCATTAGCGACAATCCCAGCTCTGCCTTTACAATAGAAGCAAGTTTTTTAAAATTCATTTAAGGGACAAGGGCGTTGCTGGCTTGACAACATTTATTGTCCATCCCTAATTGTCAAGAGGGCAGTTCAGAGTCAATCACATTGCTGTGGGTCTGGAGTCACATGTAGACCAGTCCAGGTAAGGATATTAGTGAACCAGATGGGTTTTTCCTGACAATGGGCAATAAATTCATGGTCATCATTAGATTCTTAATTCCAGATATTTTTTATTGAATTCAAATTCCATACGCCATGGCAGGATTCAAACCCGGGTCTCCAGAACATTACCTGGGTCTCTGGTAATGTATTTTTTCCATGTTGTAGCAGTAAAAAATGGTTGGTCTTAATGACAGCCATTAAGCACCGACATTTAGAACTTTTGTCTCAGATTCATTTCTCATTTATTCCAGTGGAGGGAATTTGTTGATGAATTTGAAGGGGTTAATGCTTCCTTGAAAATAGCAGAGAGGATCTTCAGAAGAACTTGTTCAGCATTTAAACTCCTGCCGCAGCATAATTTCAAGGTCCATGAGATTTGAAATGGTTCCTATTGAGGAAATCTCCTGCACATAAGAAAACATCACTTGCTCCAAGTTACAATCAACTGACAGATGCTACAGTTAATTCACATCACACTAAACAGTTACTGATGTGGAACTTCTAAAAGATGCACGGAGGCACTACAGCACTTAGTAATCGCTGGACTGTTTCTTTTTTTCTCTCTCTCACTGGTAAGAAACCTTGCATTGCCTTCATTCGATGCATTTTTCATGTGATTCCTCAGAAGAAACCCAAGAATGGATTTTTTTTTGTTTTCTGAGAAATAAAATTAAAGTTGTTCCTCAAACACCAATCTCCAGAACTGCTCGGTTGTAAAGTTTCGGTTCCGCTCCACGAGCCGCCTTAAAGCAGCCGCTTCACGTTTTGACTGATGGAAACTGGGCAGCCACAACTCTCGCATAACTGCCCTCCCTGTCGAGGGCGACAGGAAAGTGAATGCCACTGGCTCTGGACAACTCAGGTGATTGGCTCGTGCCCGCCACTGAATTGGCGATAAACCCTGTTGTTAAGGCAAAGAGTGATTGAAAAAAAAAATTAGTGAGAACAAATCCCAGCTACGTTTCAAACAGAGAAATCTATCACTGGCACTAAGGCATCATCTAATTCAAAAATCTCCAACCTGAGCCCTGACCACCTGCAGTATCATTTCTGTTTGCCCCAGGGAATTTTCCCATCGAAGCCATGGTCTTGATCTCAAAGCCTAAGGAAAGGATTTGCAAACGTGCAGATTCCTAACGAGTTCCACTAGGTTCTTACACAGAAGCAAAATGCTACAGATGTTTGAGATAACACAGTGTGAAGCTGGAGGAGCACAGCAGGCCAGGCAGCATCAGAGGAGCAGGATGCCACAGATGTTGGATGTCTGAAATGACAGCAAAAAAAAATGCTGACCTTTCTGCCTATGGCTTGCAACATCATTTCAGCGTGACCCAACGCAAGTTTAACAAACAGCACCTTATATTTCAATGTGGCACTTTATAGCCTTCTGGATTCCACACTGAGTTCAAAAACTTTAGCGTATAACTCATGTCTCTACCTTGTTCTCTGTTTTGCTGAGCTCAGCTTTGCCTTGTTTCTTTTAACAATCCCTTCATGTTGCATTTGGATGGTTTCTATGGAATAATTCAAACTCACTTGGACACAACACATGCTTCAACATATCCATGACAACACCTTTTGGCCGTTGTATCATGAGACTCTTGGTTAATTAATCTCCCCTGGTCTCCACTCTGTTACAGACTTTACCCTTTATTCTTCCTATCCTCATCAGACCACCAATGGCAGTTCTGATAAAGGCCACTGATTTGTAATGTTAACTCCGTTTCTCTCCACAGATGCTACCTGATCTGTTGTTCTTTTCTCCCAACCTTTTTGTTTGTTCTTACTCCAGTACGTCCTGGCAAGGGGTCAAATGCATCTCGTTAGGTTTCAAAAAATCTACATACATCGCTCTACTCCCTCCCATCACAAGTGGAACTAAAAGTCTGATTTAAATGGGGCATAATCCCAGAAGTTCAGAGTTCTGGGCCCTCCAAACTGAGACTGGACTTGCTTCCTCTCTCAACAATTTTAGGGCTGTAAATGTCAACATAGTGTGATTGCTCTGTTGTGCCTTTGAGCTCATGAACAACAGAGAACAAGTTATGCATGTAAAATACCTTTTCCTTTCTTCTGTGATTTTCCCACACACTGTTGCACACAAGACATTCAAAGGCATCAATGTAATTATCCCGGGAAAGATCCCGAACCCCCCACTTGCGGTCCTTCATTGCAGTCAGCAGTTTCTCATTGGACTTGGGACCCTTCCATTTCCACTCGAGGAAGACCCCATACTCTTGGTCATTGCTGTCCAAGTGCATGATGTACTCCGCTAATTCCTTGGGGTGTGAGAAACCCTCGACAAGGATAGCGCTTTTATTACTGGGGAGCCAGTCAGCTACACTGGGAGAGCCATAATAAACCGGAACCACTCCCAGCTTGAAAGATCTCCACAACTTCTCCGTGATGTAATCATCACAAACAGCGTTCTCGAAAGCGAGGATAAATTTGTACTGAGCAAGAATCTTGTAAAGTCCATCATCATCCATGGTTGTGGGATCCTTCAAGTGACTGGGAAGGTCCTTGTTATGCAAACACGCCCCGTAAGAATCCACTGGGATGTATTTCATCAATTCCCGGACGTAGCTATCTCTGTCCGAAGGTGGATCGCAATCAGACTGTACATACACTAATGGTGCTAGATGTTCTCTCAGCTGATTCTTCCGAGACAACGGGATCAAGTACTTGTGGGTTTTCAACTCCTCGATGCTCTCCAAGTACTGGGTGGTCAGGGGCATGTGAGAGTTGCGGCTGAATGTGGAAGTGTAATTAAATAACGTGATGGTGGGCTCGTGGAAAAGCTTGTAATTGTTTTTAGGGGATTCTTCATGGAACAAGGCCCATTCGTGTTGATGTTTCCGAGGCAACGGCAAACTGTTGATCTGGAAGTCTGTACCTATGCAAATTAGAGATGTGGAAAAAATAAAGGTTAACGCATCAAAAACCATGCATCAAACAGACTATTAAATCAGACACATGCTCAAATGATAATTGGCTCCAATGATGCCTTGGTGAGCAGCATGTCCCTGTATCTAATCGCAGTAACTGGGGATTGAAATGACCATTGCCAGGTCTGATTGGATCAGATTACACCCTGGCTTTATCTTCTGAGCCATGTATTGTTTATTCATTCATGGTATCTGTGTGCTGTTGGCTAGGCCAGTATTTATTGCCTATCCCGAATTGCCCTGGATCTAAGTGCCTTTCTGTAGGCCATTTCAGAGGACAGTTAGAAGCCAACCACATTACTATCAGTCACCTGTAGGCCAGACCGGATAAGGTAGCAAATTTCCTTCCCTGAAAGAAGTCAGCGAGCCAGAAAGCTTTTTATAATCATAAGCAGTGACATTTCACCATCTGCCATGTTGGGATTCAAACCCAGTTCTCCAGAACATTAGCGCCTGGCATTCCTGTAGGTCCAGTAACATTACAAATTTACCACACCTCTGCTGACCAAAGACTGGTGGCAGGGGAGTTAGGAATGAGGTAGAGGGGAGAAATCAGTTTATCCCTGCCCACTCCTCCTACCCCCAATGTCTGGTCACAATCCAGAGACAAACCTGTGTGAGGATACTTCCTGGGTTAAACGCGATGCTTCCCAATGTCAAACAGCAAGGTTCATGCTCACCAATTGCAATTACATAAGAAAATGCACACTGGACTGAGGCGCTGGTTAGCTACTGCTTGTGGAAATGTATATCAG